GCGCATGGATTTTCATGGGACATTCCGAACTGTCAGTGCAAAACCCACATTGAAGATCCAGTTCTCTTTTGGGAGCCTTTTATACGTGCTATGTATGACTGCTTTATCTGCGCAGTAACCCCCTCTTCATCAACCTCACCCCTCTTCCATCAAGTCCGCATCCCCCTCCACTTACCCACTTCATCCAAAAACCATGTGTGGCATGTCATTTCAACTCCCTCCTCGCAGAAGAAGGGCCCCTAACAAAACAAAACAATTATCTCTCCCCTCATTAGGACCTGGCTTGCGTCCCTCTCCCCCTCTCAAACTCTCCTCTTCCTCCTGCCGGACCAAGCCTTCACTCTCCCCCTTTCCGTAGCTGCCTGTGTGACAATAAGTTGAGCTGAGGGTCTCTTAAGTGCTTCTCGAGTTGAATGTTTAGCTGATTTTAGCCTTCATGTTTTTTTTAAAAGGCCTCGACGGAAACAGCGGCACAAGAAGGTTGAGGCATAAAGGCGAGCTGCCCAAAAATCAAGGCGAGATGAATAAAGAGGAGGCAGGAGAGCAGAAGTAGTAGAACGGATGACTGCGTGTAGTGGTATGAGATGGGTTGTGTACTGTTGCGAGGCGCTGAAGAGGACAGGGAATGGATGGGTTGGCAGTAGGCGGGAGAGCCGAATGCACCATGCCAGCTCTTAATTACTTTAATTGGAATCATTAGCTAAGTGAGCATGAGAGACATCACCTGCATGGCTCACAGGACCGCACCTGCCATAGTGACAACGCTATTATCATCATATCCCTGCAGAGGGTTTGGTGACAGCTTGAAAGTCAACCAAACATTAGAGAAAAAAAAGCATAATTGCAAGATTAGTAGATACATAGCCATTAATGCAGGTAAGCAGTCAGTGGGCCGGTTGTCTGTACAAGCAATACAAACTCAATTAAAATAAGGATCGGTGCACAGCGCAGACAGTAAATGACAAGTCCGTGCAAGGATTTGAATATTAGGGACTCAAGTTCAATTCTCAATAAGAAAAGTGACAATGTCTACAGGACATAATGTCATCAAAAAGATTCAACGAGACTGGAGGCATCTATGTCCATAAGGTACATTGTTCAAAATGTGTTATGTGATTAAAAATGCACAGGATTCTAAATCATTGGATGTGTTCAGGAAATCAGTGTCACTCACATTGAAGTTGAAGTTCTGTCATGCAAAGAAGAAGCTAAATGTGAACAGAAGCACTGCCATGTGGTTTCTGCTGAGCCAAAGGCCATATCAATACACTTGTTAACTGGCCAAAATATATTTTTTGGAAAACATGGAATCTTTTGGACTAACGTGGGTCAAAGCTTTCTTATTGTTAGTTACATTCAGCTCAGTATCCTGAATGGAATCTCTGGTTGTACGGGTATGTGGTTGTACATATTGAGCTCTCCCCCGCACATCTGAAAAAGTATGTGTGTGCCCGTCCAGCAAAAACATTTACATCTAGCATACTGCAGCTACCAGAGCACAGCTTCAATGGTGTTTGTACTGGACTGGGCTACACGAAATCCAGACCTTTAAGAAACCAAAAAATATCTAGCAAATTAACACATTCAAAATATGAAAAACAATTCCCTGGACTGTTTGAATCCAATATCAAATAAGAATGAGGCGACATTCCTCTCCCAAAGATAAAAAAAAAACACGCTGATATATATATATAGATGCGCACACGTGCAAATACTGTTTAAGATTCGTACAATTTTGATACTCAGTTGATGGTAAGTTATCAGAGACCAAGGATCCTGAGGGTGACTGAGGGAGTCATAGTAAATGTTCAATTTAACAAAAAACAAATAGAAATGGATAGAAATATAAAAACAAATATAAAACATTTGAACATTTTTAACCAATTAACAGTTTGATTGAAACAAGGCTGATACTTTCATAGATGGATCCATAATCTCTTAATTGTACAATTTAAAATTTTCACAATCAGATTTGGCTCATTTTGTTTAAGGCACTTTTTTGTAACAGTGGGTTATCAGAACTTGTTGTTCCCTGGTAATCTCTCCAATCAACAAGTACAGAGATTCAGATTTTCATCCACAAATTTATGCAATCAATTTCCCTGTCATCTGAGAAATGCAGTTGTGACCCTTTATTTACTGATTTTTCAAGTTCATTCAAATTTTGAGTCTCTTTTCCACTTCTGGGCCTCTTAAAAAACCTGACTATGATCAGAATTATTATTTACAATAAACTTATTAAATGTATTATATCTTATTAGTAGCTTAATTGGCCAAATTTAATTTGTGAAAAAGCTAATTTACAATTATTACAAAATATGTCTATATATTTTATAAATGTGCACAATTTCAAGTGTACCTTTGGTTTAAGGGCTGCTACCGTCAGCCTTGCTTCAATTACTTACTCTATTTAAGCTCATGCATGTGCTAAAACTTACTGCAGTCCAGCCTCAGACAAAACTACAAGTAAATGGGGTATTTAAACCCTCTTTACTGGATTGGCTATAAGTGTATAATTTCTCTCAATTTTTGCTTAAGTTTCACATCTTGTGACAGATTAGCAAACATTTATCCATATTTTCTCAACTTACTTCAAATATTAGTTGCGTTATTTTGTGCTGGAGGATAGTTTTCCCGTAACTACGGGAGCATTTTATGCGGTGACAAACTTTGATGTTGACAGGGCTACACCTATCTTTGTTCTCCCAGAAGCCCAGCAGACAGCCTGGTAGGTGGGCCGGCAGCCAGGCAGAATGGCAGTACGCTGGCAGGCTTAGCCCGGGGGCACCATCTCCAGCAGAGCCAACTCTGACCAGCTGGTCCAGACTAACACCACACAGCGAGCATGTACCGGCATATCAGACGGGTGGTGGATGTTAGTCGTGGAACAGACACCCTCTCACCCAGAGCCTGACACCTACAGCAGCAGACCCATCCTAATGGGACTTAGGTGAGAACGCTCTGTCTCACCTGTGACTTAACTCATCATCATGAAACTTGCGAATATTCATCCGTGCGTGCCCAGCCGCCATCCAGAATTTGTTTTTCAGAGAGCGCATAAGGGACCTCCAGTTCACACTCGCAAACTGATGCCAGATCCGCCGTCCAGCCTGGTCCAAAGTATCATGATGGTTTTAGCTCCAAGCAAGTCTCGTGTGGCTGACTAAAGTCTGGAAGACTTTTTCTCCTTCCTGTAGCCCTGTGTTGGCTAGTTAGCAGTGTTTGAATTGATTCAAACACAGTCAAACATACAGAAAGAAGAATGTATAGTGTTAAAAAGTCTTGCCGTGGTATAAAGTGTGAAAATCTGGCTGCACCAACTTTTTTTTCTAAAAGTAAAACTTGTAGATAATGAGCAAAAAATATATTAAACCAGATCGTGCACCGTCAGTGAACTGATTTTGTCTGAGTTCCCCGGTCCCACACATCTCTCAACCATTTCCATGTCTGACAGTTAAAAGGCCTACACACAAAGTGAAAGAGCAGGCAGCTCATTGTGCCTTCTAAAGCGCTAACTAGGCCGCTTAGCACCCCATGATGCTGATCTGATCCCCGAGGCGCTGAACTTGGCAGTGGGCCCTCCTTCTTTTGCTCCTTCCTTTTCCCTCGCCATGGGAACCAGGCCATCCTCAATGACACAGGAGTGCTCCGTCGAAGCTCACAATGTGAAGGGGGCTAACATCTGTCTTGCTAAGTGGCGCACTCTCTTGTGCACCTTGTTTGTTCAATCAACAACCTCCCACCTCCTCCCCTTCCTCCCTCCGTCATCCCCCCCACAATGCCCATTTTCTCTAATTTTATATCTCTTTCTTAAGTTGAAACGGGGAAGGTAAGTCAGTTGAAACATGCTTATCACAGTTAATTAGTGAAACATACAGACAAAGTTATGACTAATTTTAACAGATTTAGTTAGGCAGTTAGGAGGTTGGCCTTTTACAAAAAGCACTGATTGCAGAGGGTCCGTAAAAAGCAGAATTTGACCAACGCTCCACAAGCGTACCAACCTTTCATCATTCGTATTTAGAAAAATACAAGTGCCTGATTAAAAGTGGCCCCTAATTCTTCACAGTTAAGACCTGGGCAAATATTTGTCTCATCAATCTTGGAAAATATAGCCATCAACCCAAGATGTTAATCACATGCTAATGGAATCCAAGGCACTCAATACAAACCCCCCGTAGCGCAATGAACGCTTTCACTTTTTTTTTTCTTTTTTTCGGAAGACCCACGTGAATGCAAATGGAAATCTAAGCAGTCATTTTGACTGCATGCCAAGGCAATGTAAAGAGCCTCCTTCTTTATGCTCCTCTGGGAATGTATGTTGGGATGTGAAGGATGAGTTCACTTTACCAGCCCCAGGTGCCAGGATATAAATGAATAATAGGTTTTATAGGCCTTAACTGAAAGAGAAAAGCTTATATGCACATAATCACACATGCCTGCTTGCTCAAGTGCATCTGTGGTGAAGGATGTTCAAATTCCCACAACCACTCTGAAAAGACATTGGCCATGAGAATGGCTCCTTTACATAATTCAGGAGTCCATGCTGAAACAATTATGTTTGCTTACAGCTAAGTACCTATGCTCAATAGCTCGTTTGCTCTCCACTTTGGTGCTTTCAGATGTAAGTGGTATGTGCTAAAAGTCGGAGGAACATGGCTTTTTAATAAAACATAGGAACTAACACTTAAATGCTCGAATGTGAGGGTGGGAGAGAGAAAAAAACAACAACAACAACAACAAATGTTCTTTGTGTTTTTTACTTCGGCATTGCATGCAAATTACATTGCACTTGTGAACCTGACAGTGCCGGGAACAATTAGCAAGACCAGGTGAAACGTTAGTGGAAATTATGACATTTTAAACAAAGTTTGGGATGAAAATATCAGTTTTAAGTGTTAAAAAAAAACTGTGAAAGTCCAGTGTTTGTCCAGCTTCATCCACTGAAACAGATAAACGGAGTGACCAAAGTGCAGATAATTTGACTTTTAAGCTTGTCTGTGGTGTAATGAGCCACCAGAAGTTTTCACCTGGAATAAAATCAGTCAGATTTAGACACATAGACACAGAGACATTATGTAGTATATAGAAAAAAAAGGCCAAACTGTGCCTATGTATTCTCTCTCTAACACAGACTCTGCAGTCTTTTTTCTCACTGCTGCATAACAGTTAGAGATTTTTGGAGGCTGCTGCCTCAGCACTCTGCTCCTCCCGCCTGGTCTCACACTTGCACTCCTCCACCACCATCACTCTCTTCTCCCGCACCTCGACTCCACACCGCAGAGACACAGTGACAGTTTGAGCTCTAAATGGGGCGCAGCGGGAGCAGGGGGCCCTGCGGTGGAAGGCCCCAGTCCCGGGACTCTGCTCGGCGAACTCCCCCTCAGACGGGACAAAGAGGGAGCTGCACTGGCCGAAACACAGCTTGTTGTGCACTGTTACTGTTTGGCATCCATCTGCCGTCACATGCTGGGAGGATGATAAAAAGGGGTCGAGTTTAGGGATAAACACAGAGGCAGCTTTAGGAATAAACAAAAAAATCTCTCTGTCGGTGGAAAAATTAGCGCCAATTAACAATAAAAGGTTTGCATTGCAATTTATCTCTATCGAGAATATTTCTGATTCATGTTAGTTTATTTGTTCATTTAGATTTTTGTATTCATTCTGAAGACTGCTTCTTACCTGTATGAAAGGCACTGCAGTGCACGCTTGTTTGGTATCCTTCAAGCTGATTGGCAGAGACGTTTTGACTCCCTTATCTATGGCTTTCTGCCACATCTGCAGCCTTTGCTTCTTTTTCATCTCCGTCTCAGCGGGGCTTCTTGAGCGCAGGGTGTGGAGTGGACTTCCCGCCGCTTTGTGGGTCGGACGACCGCGAGATAGGAAGGCAGGGAAGGGCAACCTAGAGCTGTGAGAAAGGGCTCTTCCAGGGGAGAGACCTCTTCTGAAGAGCGCTGACTGGGTCAAACTGCGAGAGTCCAGCTGAACAATCTTGACTATTCCGTGGACAGGCTCATCTGGTCCACTGCCAGATGACTCAAAGTCAAATCTTGATTTTTTCACAAAGGTGTTATAAGGAAACGTAACAGCTACAGCCATCCAACTTGAAAAAAGTATTAAACTGATAACGAAAGCCATGATCTAAGAAGAAATGGATGATTCTCAGAATGGATACAATTCCTAATTACAAAAAGCAGCTACACAAATTCAATAAATGTAACTTTGTCTAACTGATCATGGGTCAAGGCTCAAAATGGCAATCTTGCTGTTTGTGCCTCGTCTGTGTTGTGGAGGAATCCCTTTTTATAGGAAACTGCCAGTTCTCACCTGTGTTTTAACGCAGAGAAGACATTGCAGTTCCCACAGAAGATCAGACATCACACCAAGCTTAAAAGTCCAGGTCGAGGACTGTTGTCAGACAGAGATGGTCTCAGATTCAAGTTAAGTGTTAAAACATCCTCATAAAAAAACATCTGAAAGGACTCATTGGATGTCCGCCATTCAAAATGATTAAATGTAGTTCAGACATCCAAAAGATAATCCATACTCTGTGTGTGTGTAGTGCAAACCTTTGTGAGATGCACAAGTCATCCTTGAGCCATCAAAAACAAATGTCCTGACATTTTTTCAGATTGAATTTGTTCAAGTTCCTCTGAAAACATTTTAACATTTCGTGAAGTACAAACAGATAGATTTGTTGATAATAGAACATACTGTACCTTTATTACATCATTACTCAAAGCAAAGTTGTTTGCTGCCTAAAACAACCATTTCACAATGCAATTTCAGCTGAAAAATGCAGTCCCTTCTGCCAGGTCACTTATTGGGCAGCTGTCCCTCTTACCTTTCATTGTAAAACAATCACGAGTTTATGTTCCCTGTGTAAACAAGCTGTGTCCTGTGCAGCTATTCCCGAAAGCCGTTTCTAAGCCTCTCCCTTGACATCCCATCATTATGCCATTAGATGGCATTGTGTTCCATCACCCGTGACCTGATCACACACGGGCTGCCTAGCTGCCTAGCCGACAACTGAATGAGCGGTTGAATTCCACATGGGTGGTACCTGGGTGTTAGGAAACACCTTTCCTTCCTTTGTCTGCCCTTGTTGTGTGAATCCAAGCGTACAAACTTAAACATATAGTTCAGAAAGAAATGGAAAAATCATAAGGAAAATCTGATGTTAAATCTGAGACCCACAACCAGATCCATACAATTACTATAGGATTATCATGAATTAACAATCCATGTGAATGAATTCAGTAGCATTGCAGTTTCCTTGAGCTCCATACTTGTTGTGAATTATTTTTTTTCCACTAGAGGGCATGGTTTGTTTTTCTCCCCTGCCTCACTGCTCATGAGCAAAGTACCAGCAGGCTTTTAATGAGAAACTTTGGAAAATGCGACATAAGTCCTCTTACTTTTTGGTTTTTCATTTTTATTACAACTTCTGCTGGAAAAATATGATCTAAAATATAAAATTACTCATAGAGTTAACGACGAGCACCATGCAAATCAGTCAGATGAGAGACTCAATCTTGTGAAGTGACCCATAAATGTAAGACCTAAATTCCAACCTGAATCTATGCCAGATTTAATAGAAATCGTTTTTATGTCTGAAGAGGAGGAAACAAACTTTGCACTCCTTGTCATTGTCGAATCCGTGACGTCCGGTTTTCTGTCATGAACATAAAAATGATTAGATATGGTTCCAAGAGGGCAGTTGATGACCTGAAAAACACAGATTATGGCGACTACAACAATACTGTTTTATTACAGCAATGAAACAGCCAGGTTACTATATATGAAGACGGAACTGACGTTCATCCAACACACAGTAAAGTCGAAATAGAAAATATTTGACTTAACAGGCAGTAGTAATGTTTTACGATACTGCTATATGTTCTACTGTAAAGCTTGTATTTCTGTAATAACAAATACATGTTTTGTTTTTGTTTTTTAGAATGATTATCTTAATCATCTTGTTTGTATGGAAAGTTAAACTTTTTTTTCGAAAACTGTTAGGTTTTAAGCTGTAATTGAATAGTGTCTGTATGTTTTATTCTCTCTAAACATTTTTAAAAAGCCTAATGTTTGAGTTGGTGGAAGGATCTATGCACTTCTACACTGCTCTGAGCTATCTAATCTCTAAAGCTGTGAGAATATTAGAATTTGAGAACAATTCGAACTAATTTTCTGCATTTCTTTAAGGCTGACATGCTTTACTTAAAATGACCAAACCCTGTTGACATTGTTGTGTATTAACCCTTTAATACCATGCGCTTTATATCTGACTGGTGGATTTCTGGCACCCACTGACACATCCTTAGGGTAAAACTCTGTTTAAATTTATGCTTTTCTGTCCAATAAATCTCAAGTCAGCCTTAATTTTGTTGATAGTGTACCAGAAGGCCATGAAAGCTGAAACAATTTGTGTTGGTCTTTTAATTCTCAGACTGCAACTGCTTCAGTCAATAAAATGTATATTAAACTTGTTTATGCTATTCTAATGCTGGGAGTAATGTACAGCATTCTCTCTTTATGCTCTATCTGAGTTGCAACAGTGGCATAACTGATGTTAAGGAGTGACGTGACTGCAGCCTCAGATGGCATTTTGTTATCAATGTGACGTTTCACCTGAAGTTTTACGTGACATATTTGGACAAAAGTACAGCATCTGAATGGTTCATTTTGTTTTATAAACAGGTTAGAATTCAATTTAAAATTTCCAAGAATAGTGATGGAAAAAAGCGTCATAACTTTTTTCTTTCAGAACACGTGGTTTGTATTTCTTATAAAAATACATGACACTGTGATGGAATCATTAACAAGTTTTTATTTTTTAGTGAGGGCCTTGAAGTCAGCGATATATTGAAAACAGGCAGAATCTCAAAACTGGTATTGTGGTCGAGTGCTGTTGTTTTGTCAGGATAGAATGGACAATGTATCATGGATAACCTTTTGAAATGGAGCGCCTCTGTTCCCTGGGATTTTAGCTGATAGCATTGTCTGTCATGAGACTACAGAAGATGTCATTAACCCAGTAGCTGCCGGGCTACCAAGCCAACATCATTTTGCATTCATGAGGACCTCTGGATATTTTAACCACACCACTCTCCCTGCTATAATTCCTACATCTCAACACGTTTACAGGGTATTTCTATTTGATTTTGGTATTTAATTTATTCAAATACATTTCATTGCCAATTTATAGTGTAAAATATTTCACTTTCAGGAATAATGAAGAAAAATTCTAATCATGTTTGCTCAAATGCTCAAATGATATACACAAAAGAAATTCAGAAACACTCTATGGTGATAAGAAAAGATTGGGAAATTTAATTCAATCGATCAAATATTTAAAAAAAACTGACACACATAATGCACACAGGGATAGGCTTCAGTTCCCCCCGCGACCTGTTCAGGGAATAAGCGGTATTGATAATGGATGGATGGATGGACATAAAGCACACATACATGTTTCTTAATGTGTCAATATTGTGCATCATAGCACATCACTATGAAATGCATCAGCACAAACAATATGGAACCTAAGAAAAATCCATTTCCAAACATAAATAAATCACAATATAAACATGAAATACAGCTTTAAAAGTAATGGCACATTAAATCTTTTGTTTAGATTTCATCTTAATGTCTAATGCAGGTGAACATACAGTATCTATAGAGTTTCACAAGAGTTATTAGTGTGCCTTTTTAAATCAAACAGAAAAAACTTTATACAAAAAGAAGTCTTTACAAATATCTCCTACAAATATATCTATTAAATCCAAACCAGGAATCATTATGCCTTAGAGCCAATGTTGTGATAGAGAACCATCGAGACCACCATGGCAGCAATCTGTGAAGAAATTAAAGACAAGAAATTAATTCCAAGATGGGTTATGGACAATTTTGTAATATATATTTTGTGGAACTGCGACTATTAAAAAGCAATGCACTTTAGAAACAAATCTTTATCAATTATCGTCACAAATTTGATATCAAAGTCTCTGCCAACATGTAAACTTTAGATCACACTTTTTGTGTTAACAATAGCACCACACAACAAACATATTTCAAGTTGTAAGGGTAATACAGAAGATTTAAAAAACTAAAAATATATATACATTCAAACTGTAAGAGTACATAATATTTCCTTCAATGAGTTAATTATTTACACTGGTAATAATAGAAATGAAAACAACCTAAAACTTACCAGATCATAAATACATTTCAAACTAAGGCAACATAGAGGAATAAAATTAATAAAAGAAAAAAATGACTCAGCTGGCTACAGCTTTTAAATGTGTGCTAACACAGTACCAAGTAGAAAAAACATCAGGAACGTCATTATGAAGTCCATCATCCAATAAGGAAGTCTAATCTCTTTAAAAATAACATGGCAGCGCAACTTAGGTTTTCAGCATTGCAAGACTACTGGACATCCCAACTGTTAAGCATGGTCAGTGGTGTATTAACTCCTCTGTTTACAAAATAATTCAACTCAGATGTGAGGCCATTGTCCTGTTAGCTAAAGTTTGAATAAAATTGTATTGTCCAACAGGGCAATGATCCCATGGTTGAAAGAAGAAATAGCAACCTGCAGCAAATGTCCAAAGTACAAACAAGCTCAAGAGAGCTGTGCATAAACAAATGCCACAAAGTTCAATGAACTGACCCTGCTTTAAGAGAATAATGTCCCTCCACAAAGTTGGAAGAGACTGAAGAAGTCATGTTAATGTGGTTTCACAAGCCACTGTATTAAATCATGCTCTGTGCATTGATTCCTTGTCTTTGAGTAAATAGGGTTAGTAAATGGATGAAAATATTGGCATATTTCCATGTGTCACGTGCTGGCAAAGTTGTCCATAAATTGTTGTATTTCACTTATTTAAAAGTGTCTAAAGAACTGTTAGTTATTTTTAAAATTCCTTTAAAAAATTTAATTAAAGACGTTTTTTATTGTTAGTATTTAAGAGTAAAACAGTGATTTTTGGTATTTTATGTATGTATACTATGTTCTAGGGGTAATTATCCCATGTGTGTTTTCCTTTTTTCTTCTTTTTGGCTAAATGGAAAATTTAAAGGCCATATCTAACCAGATTAGTTAAGACACCTTAACATGTTTGCAATCAAGAGGAGACAGAAAAACTGGTTTATCTCAATGCAATCGATAATTAAAACACACAGTAAACTTAAATTAGAGCAAATGCACAAAGTAGCTATCCTACAGGTTAAAATACAATTAGATATAAGGACAAATAAATGAAAACTTCAAGTGAAGGTTTTGTTACAAAATAGATACAGTGTGAGGAGGTATACCACCACAATTGATAAATTTGAGATTTCAAATATTTGAGATAAAATGAAATAAAGAGATCTGACTGCTTTCATGTTGAAATTATTTATCTCAATAAAAAAAGAACAATGAAGATGTCGTATAAGTTGTGTGACACTGTACCTCAAAAGCAGCGACTCCTAGGGCCACAGCTGCTACAATCACAGCGTTGTCCTCAAACAGCTCCACCAGTTTATCAAAGCAGCCCTCGACCATCTGCAAGGCGAACAATTTGTTGCATATGAGGATTGGACAGAAGGTCAGTAGCGCTCTGTATTCACGCATTAAGCCAAATACAAAAAAAAATATGTCTCATACCGAATTTTCTGCTGTTTCTGTAGAACAAGCAGTAGAAGCGTCTTGTGGTTGGCAACATGTAGGTGGATAAAACTGTCCACCATGGCTATCATGGTAGGGGGAGTTATCGAAATCTGTGTAGTTCCTGTATCCGCAGCATTTAAACTAAAAAGGAAAACTTATGTTAATGGCAATACATTCTAAAGTAGTAGGCAACAATGCGATGCTACCACAAGAAAAGACACACACAAAAGGAATTCATAAAATGTGCAAATTGGATGCTTATACAAAGATTGACTTCATCTCAAAAGCTATTAATTAAAATTCTTTGCACAAATCTCTCTAACTGGGTAAGTTTGTTTGGGATCAGTGAAAAAAAGTACCTCTTCCATGGTGGCATTCCAAAGAGAGGTCAGACTCTCTTTTTCTCCAAAGTCCTTTTGAATGCTTTTTCTTACTTGGGTTTCAAGACGTTCAAAAAGGTCGTTCGCCTAAAAAGTACACATCAACAGCATAACTTTTTTGAGATTCTTTGCCCTTGAGAATGTGAGTAAAGAAAAGTTGTTTGGCTTGTTTTTGTGCTACTCACCAAACCCTGAAAGACGAGCAGAACCACAGCTCCGGCTACCTCGGCAAGGAAGATAAACAGCACGATACAGAAGAACTGAAGAGTGGAAAAAAGATGATGGTTTATATTTTAGCATTGTCACTGTAAAACAATAATTTCATAATAGAACAGCATCTGTAAAATCAAGCCTCACAATGCAACGGGAATGATACTTTTATCACTTTAAACAGAAGGTACCAACTTCATGTTTTCAAAAGAATGTCCAATAGACCAATTTAAATATTTCAAACTATAATTCTGAGCAGTAATGAATCAGTAAAGGATTTTCAGTCCTTTTTTTCAAAGTTGAAAGATGACCAGTTGCAAAATAGTTTGTAGCCATTTCATTATAAATGGACAACTGTATTTGATGCTGAAAATATTTCCAAACAGATTATACGCACCGTCATTAGCATACACCTGCTCTCTCTTATGGCGCCACAACATCCCAGAAAGCCAATGACGAGAAGTACCGCGCCCACCCCGATGAGCAGGTAGGCAATATTGGCGAGTTGGAAGAGCCCGTCTGGGGCATCTTCTATTTCGTCCAGTATACCCAGGAGAGAACTGCTATCCACTTTCACCCACACTCCCACTCCTAGAATAGCTGCGCCTGCCAACTGCATGTGGAGTGAGGAAAGAAAGAAAGAAAAAAAAAGTTATACAATATCATTTCATGTATCTATCTATCTATCTATCTATCTATCTATCTATCTATCTATCTAT